CAAATGAAAATAAAAGCTGGAGCAGCTGTGCATGACAACCAATCAGCGTCTCTCTTCAGTTTGTTCAGTTAAAATTTGAAGATGGAACAGAGAAGCGGATTGGTTGCCATGCACAGCTGCTCCAGTTTTGATAAATTCCCCTCGGTGACAATTTCCCCACGTCGATTCGCAGTCTCAACACGTTCCACCCCTTGGGCTTCTTTCTGACTAATCCCCAGGGGTGAGACTGTGGATGGACGTGGAGAAATTGTCACTGCGTTTCTGTACTGCCGGATTCATCTATTGATGTTTTTACTACCGTGGAACTTTCAACAGGTGGTGATTTATGTAATATTTGAAATCATGTTCCTGACATGTTAACCATGGCCGTCCGTATAATGAGGTGGCATCTCATTGGGTCATGTGGTGCGGCAGGGGTGCCAGACGACCTCTTGCCAGAGCATCCCAGGTTGCTAAGAGCTCATAGCAACCTGTGATGCTCTGGCTGGTGTTCCGCCCAGCTCCTGGCAACCAGTGACGTCAGTGAGCTGGTCGGCACTGCACCCCCATGCACAGCCAGCACCCACTTCAGGCGACTGTTCCTGGGAAACGATTTATAATTCTGTTTTAGTCAGGCTTATGACCCACCCCTTTTTGACAGCATAGCCAGGTCCTGGACTGACCTCTACTAATGTAAAACAATGCAGCCTGGTCCAGCCTTATGGATAATGAACGATCAGCAGTCTATATGCTTTACTCTCCTATAAGCATGGTGTTCATTTTCCAGGGTGTTGCAGGTGACAAATCTAATTGTTCTTCTGAATTGTAACTGTAATGTTATTTCATACTAGGCACACATACGTAGAGTTTTAGTGGTGCATTAACTCACATACTGGATGTTCATTGTGCTTCTTCCAGCTCACCGTCAACTCTCATTTCATGAAAGACCTGGGACTGGATAGTTTGGACCAAGTTGAAATAATCATGGCAATGGAGGATGAGTTTGGTAAGATGGCTGCACCCGGGTTTATTGCGTGAACCCTTTCTGTCGATTTTTTTTATTTTTCTTTTAAAAGTGGACTTGTACTTTTGGAAACCGTTATAAATTGCTGTGTAGGTGTATCATATTTTGGAAGGGTGATAATCATGTGCACCTCCTATGGCAGCTAAACCTGATATCGGAACACTTCTGTTTTAGCTTCCAGTTTAAAGAGCATGATGGCATCTGGAAGCAGCACAGGCCTTCAAGTAAACCTGTGCGGTTGTCAGAGGAGAGCGAGGAACACAAATACTATAGAGTACAGCATTCTCCATAATGTGCTTGTTTCTACCTCTTCACTGCGCTGCCTGCCTCCCTAGTGTGTCAGTAGACGTTGCAGTTAAGGAGTACAGTTGCACAGGCTACCCAGCCTCCATAGAATGACAAAAAAGGAGAGCGCCCACTCCATGTGAAGGATCGTTCAATAATTTGCTGTTAAAAATGGTAATGTACTCACAAGGAAAAAGTGACACAAGCGTATTCAATGGTTCCTCTCACAGGAGGCTCTCGCCCATCAGAAGCCACAGCGCAGCCAAGTTGGCTCAAGCCGAAGTCGTCTTCCGGCAGCAAGTGGCAGGGCTAACACGTTTCTGGCCACGCCCCTTTGCTCAGAACCGAGGGTCGACCCTTCACATGGAGTGGGCGCTCTCCTTTTTTGTCATTCTATAGATGTTAAAGGAGAACTATGAGCTGAGTGCTTTTCACTCACCTCATAGTTCTAGCCGACTTGAGACAATGAGACTGTCACAGGTGGGCTAAGTAGATCGGGAGGTGAGCGAACACATGCCGGCGTTCGCTCACTTCTTGATCATTTCCCTGTTGAGAGCGGTGACTGTCACTCACGGCTCCCGCAGGGATTCCGCCAACCCCGCTCTCTGCCGTGACAGGAGAGGTACTGGATTCCCCCTCCCCGCTCAGATCCTCCAGCGCTGACTGGCGGAATGGGAGGGGGTGGTTACAGCTGGCTCTGCCTCCTAGATGGGCAGAGCCAGCTGTCAGTCACGCAGCTGGGCGGATCCAGCCATAATTGTCAGGATCTGCTTCAGCTGCAGCGTCTCGGTATACCATGAGCAGTAGCTCGCGGTATGCTGCGGCGTCTCACTATACCGTGAGTAGTAGCTCGCGGTATACTCTGGCGCTTAGGGTGACAGGAGGACGCTAGTTTGTGTCCTCCTGTTACCCTTAGGAGAACTATGAGGAAAAGCCCTGACCCCATAGTTCTCCTTTTAAGGTTCCCTGCCCTGTGGAGATGCCCCAGTGTGATCAGGTGGAATCAATTAAGAGGAGGGCTTGCTGTGATTCATTTGCACCGTGAAGATTTATAATGTGTACCTTGACCGAGTACTCAATGTAGGTGTGTGTGTGTGTGTGTGTGTGTGTGTGTGTGTCTGTGTGTGTTTGTGTGTAGGTTCCAGTGATGAACTGTAAATGAAAAGCCTCTATGATGAGCCTTATTTTGCCAGCTTTGAGTAACCCTTTTCTAATGGTCCATCTTCTCTCCAGAACTGAGGCTGTCTGGTCCTTTTGTATGTGGGATTCAGATTTTCTGATTTAGAATTCCGCTTTGAGAATTGGGGTCATGTAATTTCTTTTTTGCGCTCTGCTTAATGTAAATGTAAGGTCAGATTTACTATGGGGGAAAATGTACTGGGTTATATTCATCATGTTGGGCCGAGGATGGCAAATCGGGTCAAAGGGCATCACTCTTGAGAACCTTTGCACAGCTAATAGTTTATAGGAACTGTGAAAAAGACAAATCTGCCAAACTGATGTTTGTTTTACCTCCGTGAATGTTCTCTGCATGACAACTGTGGCTGCTTATTACAAAATATATCATGTTGTCTCCATACAACTAAACCTGATTAAGGCTGGCTGCAGGACCTGGTCACATCCTAGTGGCAGGGAGGCTGCAGAGTGCAATAGATATGCTGGTGCCCCTTCAGACTCGATTCTCATAGGAGATCACTAAGAACAGACTAGACTCTTAACCAACCAAGTTATAATTGTCATCACAGTTCCTTCACATCCCACGTGACCAGTTTATTAGTAACCAAACATTGTATTGTAGAATGGGGGAAGGGTGAGCCTAGAATTTGGGTGTTTCTGTGGTCACCGGTGGCCCTCTAGGGGGTCTCTGCAGATATTTTGTGTCGCCTTACAGTGTATGCTAACATTCAAGTTTTTAATGGCCAACTTCTGGTTGGGCTCCTGTGCCACCTGAGGCCTTCTGGCTGGTCAAAGGTGTCCTTCCTCCACTGCAGAACGCTTTAGAGCAGGGGTAGACAAGCACCCACCGTCCAGCTGTGGTGAAACTAAGAAATCCCATCATGCATCTGCCAGTGTCTCTTCTCTGCATTCCCGTATCCATCCTGCGAGCCCAAGTGGACTTCCTCTGGCTTGTTGACTCTCCTCTGAAGTGGGTGGCATGAAAGTAAATAGTGGCATGACCATACATGCAGACATTAACAAAGAACTTCGGTCAAAAACAATGTTAATACTTGCAGTGAGGTCAGTTATACTCAAACGCCACAGTAGGGTGGCTTCTAGACCTGTCCCTTCAGCCTGTCTCCTCATCTGCTCCATGTCCCTTGGTGTCCTCACGTCCTCTACACTGTATAGTATGTGATGACGCACAGGACCCACAGGGAGCCCCACTGCATAGGTTATGATCATTTTTGTTCCTCTTTAAGCTAACCATTCACAAATCAATTCTGTACGACAAACAGGAGAAATTCAATTGATTCCCCCATTGAAACTCAATGTCTTGGAATCTCCACTGCTGGCTATACAGCATACAATGGCGGTGACAAGCAGTCACTGCTTCTGATGGGATGCAGTTGACTTTTATCGAGCCAGGCGGTGACTGCTGGGCTGCCCACAGCTCCACTTTCGGCCAGTTCAGCAGAAAGCAGAGTGAATTTGAGCCATCTATGGCCAGCTTTGTGCTCTAGCATGTGCAGCTTTACCAGATGCCTCTGCTGTAGTGGACACAAGCAGCACCTCACCAGTAACTGGATGCCCCGTTTATCTACTTGGCATTGTTGCCTTTACATTATAGTGCTTGTGGTACAATACAGGTTTCTGATGTTTATTTTTAGACTAATAGACCTGTTCGGAAGATCTGTGCAGTGGGGACACAAACGGAATGACCACATGACAGATGCGTCTGCTCTGCATTTACTGCCCTTGGGGTTTATTTCCTCCTGGCATTATTCCATCTCACCACTAGATGGCGACCTTAGACCATATCTCCATTCACGTCACTGATGGATGGTGTCTTTTTTTGCCTGAAGGCATACGTGGGTGCCATACCAAGTAATAGCCATCCACCACATGCAGTTCTCTATTAATTAAATGGGGGGGGGGGGGGG